ATAAATATATTCATGACAGTAGAAAGAGTGAAGATTTAATCCTTGGAGGCAATCACTCCCGTTCTTCAAATGAGCCCTTTATTTGACTTCTGGTCAGAATTGTAATGGCGTTCTGTATGTCTCGCGACCCATAAAATGGCATGTGATGGACAGCTGATGTACAAGGCAGTGCTTTCATACTATCAGGCGAATCTGGTAGCAAGGAGGGAAAGAAGGCTTGGTTGGTCTGAACTAAAGTCGATCGGGTATTCAATCCCAGGACTCGATGTAGTGATCGTGCACCACTTGCCAATACACCACTTTCTCCCATTCATTATGGTATTTAATACACATGCAAAAACTCGAAAATGTACTACCTGTGGGATTCAGTACGCCGGGAAATAATTATACCACAATATGACACTTCAACAACACCCAAAATGAGATTGGAAGAAGAAGAGATTCGCGAGCATATACTGTCTTCACCCGAGGCTCTATTCATTTGATAGCCTATCACAACAACACCCCACAGTTGAAGTTAGAGGTTTTTTACCAGGGATAACGTATCGCGAGCAAATACGTGCTACGTAGCTGTTAATATTAGGTTGTCCAAAAAGTCTCTGCCGTTTTTCGACGCCCCGGATTTATCAACTGTAGTACAAAAGATAAAGGACCCAACCTCATAAAGTTATATGTTTTCTGAAAAAGTAGGTCCTCCTCTATATTCCTGTTGGGATTCTGTCACCATTTGTCAAAGTTTGTCTGGACAGGACTTGTGTAAAAATGAGAACCACTGCACGTATTTTCGGCATCTGAAGTATTTCTTCTACCGTAGCGCCTAGAGTGCGGCCCAAGCCGCAAGAAAGATATGTGACGTTTGAGTAGACTATGCTCTAGAGGAACGTACAGTTTGCAAAATCTAATCAGAGTGAATTTACCTTCGAAGATCGGCAACTTTCATGGAGACTATCATCAAAACGAAGCAATTAAAATGTGAATCAAAGCAAATCGGCACATCATTTCTCGTGGAGTGGGACAAGGGCGTACTCTTTCGAAATCAATCATCCACGATCATCTGCAGAAACTTGGTTTTGTAAAGCGCCTTGATGTTGAGATACCTCACGAAATGAGCGAACGCGACTCGCTGCTTAAACGAAATAAAAAGGAGCTGTTTCTGAAACGCATGAGCACGGAGGACGAAAATTTGATCATGAACAACGTTGAGGAGCGGAACCGATCGTGGAGCCTCCCTAGTGAGCGGTCACAAATCGCTGCAAAAGTCAAAATCCAGGTGCAGAAGACCATGCCTAGTTGCTGGTTGGATTCCAGGGGAATCACTTACCATGAGCTGTTGTCGCAATCTGGAGGCAGCGATAGATCGGAAGCGACCCGAACTGGCTGATCGTTAGGGCGTAATCCTCCAACAAGGTAGCTCCAGACCACTCGTATTTTTGGCCACTCGCCAAAAATTGCTAAAGTTTGGGTGGGATGTCTTACCACACCACCTCCCCCTCCCCCCCCCCCCCCCCCCCCCCCCCCCCCCATATAGTCCGACCTAGCACCATCAGAATACCACTTGTTTAGATTTCTAATTCGTTGAATGATATCGTTCAATCCACCAGAGGACTGCAAAAAGCACCTGAGAGGGTTTTTCGATTTTAAGTCTGGAACCTTCTATGAAAGTTGGAAACCGGAACCTACAGGAAGATGTCGTCTCCTTACTGAACAGAATGGAGGATATATTGTTCAGTCAAAGGATTTCTTCTTTTAGGAATTTTCAATCAAAGGTGAACCAAAAATCGGCGAAGACATTACGGACAACCCAAGACAACCAGTGCTGATGAGTGCTGATGATCATTATTCATTTACGAACTCTTTCCTCCGACCCTTCACTTGAACTAAAGTGTGCCTGTGCACGAAGTGAAATACGAGTAATATTCTATTGATCTGTAATTATGATTAATCGACTGCAAATGAGCTCACCACGTCGAATGCAACAAGAGGAAAGCAAGACAACTTCTGTGACCACATTCTACAAATTTCTTCTTCTTCGTTCATACTTCGCTGCTTCTCTAATGCCTCAATAGTTGAATTATGCATGCACAGAAGAGTTTCACTTCCCAGATTTGAGTTAGTGTCTTTTTGTACCCAATAAAGTATCACTCAAAAATTCTTTGCTGCCAGTTTTCGCCCCCAAAATCACACTGCACCATTAAAACTTCTATCGTCAAACCAAAACATTGATAACACTGGTTGCCTTTCTGATTAGTCTCACACTAAATTTTAATACAACAGTTTGAAAAGTAAACAATGCTGTATGTTTGTCATTACCGATATTGGGATAACCGGGACACTCAATGTTGTAAGTGTTCATTGACTAACCCCCACTACCACTCGTGCGCATTAGTCAAATAACGTTCAACTCCGTCAACGCAACAGTTAGGCTTTTCCTTATCGCACACTAGAAAAAGGGCGATACCGACCACTCTGCGATTACTCCGCCATTCTTTTATTCCTGGCTTCAGGACGGAAGACTGCCTTCATGTTTCTATGCAATTTTCATTCCATTATTGATGGTTCTCCTTTACTCAGTAAGCACTTGTAGGCACTTCAATGTCCTCAAAATGTGGCATTGTGTATCGTTGAAGACAGTCTACCTACCTTGTTGGGTTTCTCATTTCTCTTCATGGAATGTCATTTTGTAGCCGAATCACAAGCAGCGACTTCGATAACAACTGCCCAAAGTAACGTTCGCATTTCATGCTGAGGTGACTATGACATACCTCTACTGAGCACTTTCGCTTCCGTTTTCAGTCGCTTCTGAAGGAATAGCAGACGATTTTTATTCCCTGATAACGGAGACCGTCTGTCTTATCATGCCTAGACATACCCTTTTCATGTTTGTTCCGGCCTCAGCTGCTTTAGAGGAGCAGTAAATGATAACGCGTTTGATAACCAGTTGTTCCCACTTTTTTACTGGGATAACCTGTCCCGCAAGCCATAAAAACACTTTCTTTATTTTTTCTAGAATTAAAAAGTGATTTTTCTGTCATGGAAACTTAGTTCATGTAGCATCTGCAGCGCAAGCTCTGTGGACTGATGGTGAGCTTGTTATTTTGACGTGACTGCGTATCGACTTTTTCTTCACCTCTCGGCATATTATCCCTCAATTTGGCTTTCAGCAATCCAGAACTCGCTCCAAATTTGAGTTTGTCGAATGCAGGCTTTTTGTACTATTATATCTTCTTTATTTGGGAGCCTCTGCGAAGTGACCCTTAGACAATATTTAGTAACAGTTTCAGTAAATAACTGAAGCAGAACCTTACCATTGATCGAGAACAGAAGGTAAACATTGGTGGATTGAGAAAGGCTCTCAAGCTTCCGCACGCCCATTTAGAACTCTCGCTTTTTCAAAGACCGCTTTAGAGCTACTGAGAATCGAGAACTCTTGAGTCACCAGAAATTCACCTCTCTACACCATTACGATGTGCCTCCAGAAAACGGTGAAGAGAGTGGAGTTGAACGAAGCTCACTTCCAATGCCACATACATATCTGAAAAAATTTTGTGTCTAGCGTATTTTGAAGTGATTTTTGCTCCGAATTAAAAAAGGGGAATAACATTAAACCACATTGGTTTAAAACCTACTTGGTGGTTTGTTTCGCCTCTTTGCCTCGATCACAATCCGAAAATTCAGAGTGAAAAGCCGGTGGGAACACTGTAACACCGTAATGCTCTATCCAGCGACGTTGATGTACATAATACATATGTTATCTTTGCACAGATGGCCAAATTTTGTTTAGAAACAGTTAAGATGAACGAAAGACCACCTCCTTTTCTACGTTCTTTGGTAGTTTCTATTATTAAAACGTACGGATCTCACACAAACGTTACGCCAAATCTGTGAGGCCTAAAATTTTATGAGAGAAGAAGTCTTAACTGCTTCAAGCGCAAACTATAGCATTCGTGGAACGTGTTGCAAGATACCTGGTGGTACTGAACCATTTTATTTTGTGTGCTTGGAAATTTCTGGCTGATTGAGCCAAAGATGGATTCTTGCTGGGTTCCTGAATTGGGAACAATCAAACCCTCCTGGATGCTCTCGAGTTCTCCCCTTCTGTACGGTTTTGTTTCGAATTTTGTAGAACAGATAACATTTCTCAAGATTTCACTTCCCACCCTATTCTTATTCTATTCTTGTACCCTATTCTCTTTTATCATAAAACCTATACTGGATTTTAATTATCGATCTGGCCTTTTCCTACTCACCTTCTTGTTATGCTATATCCTTTTCTTCTATCTGCTTTATCGAGGATCTATTTATTATTAATTATAAAGTGGTGAAGAAGTATTGTTCGGGAGTGCTCTGAAACAGAAGTTTTAGGAATTCTTATTTCTTCCATACTTATGGTATACATACATACTTATAGTATAAAATGCTTTTCACCCAACGCTCACGGCGCAGGCGACTGTAACCTTCTTGAATATCCAAAGGAAATGGTGCAGAGAGAATTGTGCCCTGCCTTTTCGACAAATTGAATCCAGCCCTTGACTCGCCTCACTGGTTCCTATACACGCGGTGGTCCGTTGGGGATTCAAATAAACCAGTTAGCAATCTTTTTGCTTGGGAACAACATGATTCTATACGTTCTTCACAGTGATATGGAGGCTATGGTAAGAACAAACTTAGTTGAAGCCTGTAATGGGTTCAGGTGCAATGAGTGCGGGTTCAAGCAAGGAAGTACCAAGTAATCAAAAAAAAACCGTTAAAGTAAGCCTAATTCAGGAACGCATAGCTTCGAGAGAACGTGTTCTTCTAAATAGGTTCTACTTCTAGGGATAGCATAAAAACTTCTTAGAGGGAAGTCATAGCTATTTTTGTCGGCCGGAATAAATCTTTATTAGTGCACTTTCACCTTTTCAAGATACTTTCTATCGTCTTCATTTTCTCAAACATCTGCGACAGTCGCCGAATTCTTATTTCGATTTCTACGTCACCAAATACTGAATTGTTACAGGCACATGACTCAAAAGAAGAGAGTGGCCATTGTAGGAGCTGGAGCGTCTGGTCTGCCATCTATTAGGTGAACATTTTCATTTGCTACATAGTGCTTACTTTGTTAACATCCTGAGTAGTTGTGTTCGCTTGTTTTTTTACACACTCTTTCGTTGCTTTTTTGGCAGTCTCTCCGCCATAATGTTCCCATCACAGGATACATGACAGGATTGAATGTTGAATTCACGGCTGCTAAATGACTATTTCAAGCCAATAATTCGTCCCCATTATGGGGGTTGATTTCGGGAACCCTATCTGCTGCTCCTCACTCATGGTTTATCGGCACTGAAAAAAGGTTTCATTTGGCTTCCTGTTCACTATCCCACTCATGGATTTCTCGAATACGACATAACTAATGTAGGCATCTGGCTACACATCTTGTTGATTTATGATATTGTGCTTCCCAGAATTTGAAATTCGCTCCCATTTGGGTCGAAATGCTCTTTTCTGATACTTAATTGCTAGCATTTTGAAAAGTAACTAGGCCCAAAAGCAAAAGGTAGGAGATAAAGGAAAAAGTGTGAGCAGACTTTGCACTCTTTCAAGTTTCTGAACCTGGAGTTTACCGAGCAACGAGCCTATTCACAAGTTTTGTAAGTCTGCAATGATGTGTGCTTGTCAAGGAAGATAGCTGCGCAGCACAGCTAGAACTGGAAATGACTCTTTGAATATCTGGATGAGACTCATCCCTATACAATGAGTTGCTTTCACATCGTTCTTCGAGCAACCGTATCATTCCCATAGCGTTCAGTAGCGCAATCGTTCTACGCTTTCACCACACAATCTTTTTTTGCTGAGCGTTTTCTAGTTTTCTCAATTCTATTACTATAGGCATGCTCTTCTCTACGACGTGGACGTTACATGCTTCGAGGCATCCTCACATGTCGGCGGTCTCTGGAGATATACAGAAGAAGAGACAGAATGTGAGAACCTTTGCGTTCAAATATTGAATGAAGCGAAACGTCCTAGGCCTGCTTCATATCGTTTCGAAGGGCACCCAGACATTAAACTTCAATTTACAATAGCAGTGATGTTTGGATGACTTTCTGGCCCACACATCGACATTGTAATGTTAGGTTTCCATCTTTTCAGGCACTCCTGTTACCAGTCAACTGACCTGGGGCTTATGAAATCCCTTGGTATCCATTAAGCGCTGAAAGTCTGATGAAGAATATGGGGGGGGGGTTATCACCTGATTGGAGAGATGAAACGTCCGAATAGCTCTGTGCTTGCAATGATTTTGTTAGCTCTTATCCTACTTTGCAGATTCGTGTGTGATGAAGACAACCGTAATCAACACCTCAAAAGAGATGACGGCTTATTCGGACTTCCCTCCAGAACCAACCGTAGCAAATTTTATGCACAACACCGAAATGCACAGGTGGTGTCTGTTAAAAGGAGTTGGCCTGTTCTGAATGATTCGGGAACCAGTTTCTGACTTGCGAGCATTCGTGCTGGTAGTGATAGCTTAGCAATTCAGATATCTTGTATCATACGCTGATCATTTTGCCCTCAAGAAATACATCAAATTCAATCACAAAGTGCTAAACATAGAACGTTCCAATGACTATGAAATGTCTGGACAATGGATTGTTACCTACGAAGATCAGTGAGTTAATTTGCTTTGGTGGGGTTTTCAAGATGTTGCCACAACTGTATTGAAGGTCTGGAACGAAAAAGTCGGATGTGTTCGACGCTGTGCTCTTGTGCTGTGGACATCATGCCGTACCACGTATGCCAACGCCCTGGCCTGGCCAAAACACTTTCAAAGGGCGCATTATCCACTCGCACAGTTATAGAAGTCATGTTGGTAGGTTATTCAGTGGAAAGGTTCAGCTTCTAAAAGTGGATCAGTGGCAGTGATAACTTGAGCAGCTTTTTTGACGGTTTCTACGATTTTTCTTTCATTCCTTGTTCACTCGTGCATTGTAAGCGTGGGAACTTGAATGGATCAAAGTCTGAGTCTGTCAACGTCATCGGAAGAGTTAGAAATGTGTTTGGTATTTGAACGAGCTTTTCATGAGTTGTTCTCCAGGGGGAGGCGTGGGGCAGATGCGTTAGACCCTGAAAGGCGCTAAGCCCGTTCTAGAAGTAACAGTTGCTATGACGTGAGGTCGAGAGAGTAGGACTTGACAAAAGGGATTATCAGGATCTGCAGCTTTTATTTTCGATACGCGTTCCTGCTTCCAAAGAAAGTACCGAGTGAAGACGCTAGTTCGTTGGAATTATAGAATATAAGTATCACATAAACTTTGTCAGGTACTAGAATATCAGCGTAGTAAAGTTGGAAGTCAATATTGCATCAAGAAAAAAGTAATAAACTAAATGCAAGGGTGTTGCGCGTACGTAGAGTATAAGGAATTTAGTGAAAATCCGTTGGCTAAGGAAATGAAGATTCTTAAGGTTTGGTACGAATAGACGACCATTCCGGTGTTGATCTTTATTTTGATCCTTCGTTCGTTCAGGATACGAAGATAAAGTGGTCGTAGTCATCGGCGCTGGCAACTCTGGGGGTGATCTAGCCGTCGAACTGAGCAGAATAGCCAAACAGGTGACATCTTTTTACATTTTTAAATGATCTATTACATGGAGCAAACGGGGGGCTTGAAGTAGTAACGACTCCCGCGCATCCTCTCCCAGAGCGCGGGAGTTTTATTTTCCAATCATCATCTCTCGTTATTTTATATCGTAATTTAGTTATTTGCTATGAATTTTCGAAGTCGTTAGAACCTCAACTAGGATTTGCCCTTCAAAATTATTTCTTCAACCTGAAACATTTTGCCTTTTAATGAATGTCGTTTAGGTTTATTTAGTGACTCGAAGAGGGACGTGGGTGTGTAATCGCATATTCGACTATGGTGAACCATTCGATTTAGCGCTAAACAGGTGAATTTGTTGTCCGAATCGAGGAAATTCTATTGAAGGGAGTTTTCACGACGCTAGGTTTGGGAGAAGCCGGGCGGTTCGGTCAGGGGCAGCGACAGTACGTTCGATCGATGTGCGACCCTGGGTATAACAACCTGTAGACTATAAGTGAGGAACAGAAGCATTTCTGACAGTATAATCTGAATAAGTAGCCCAACACAGAAATAGTGAATTTCAACTAGTAGGTGGGAACAACTTGAATCACAGAGGGCAGAACTCAATCCCAACTGATACTTGCTTAATAATGGTGGTGAGATAGTCCCTTCTCACTTCTGTTATGTGCCTATTCAATAAGGTTTCTCATTGAAAAGATCGACTTAGAGTGATACATTCTACTGCATCATAACCGCTCATTCAGATATTTTTTCTAGACGTAGCGAAGCCATGAAGAGTCTGGCAAGAAGGGTACGAAAAGGCTAAGGCTAGGCTGTACAAATTGAAGAGGCCTCTATTGAAGGATTAAGTTTCGAGTAAAAGTAGTAGTTATCACAAAACCGCTTAACAATTCAAAAGACATAAGAAGAATTGCTTGAATGAAGATGAGATCAGAAATGCACAACCTGAACTTGTATGAAATCCCGTCTGGGAGGTGCGCCAATGCATTCACTTCCATTCTGAATCGCAGTGCCATATTGAATGCGTGTGCGGCCTATACAATGCGGTGGTAGCCGATGAACAAGTCAGTGTTCTGTTCCTTAGTCTACCCTGAGGAATGGAATCTTTCGATGGCCTATGCTAGTATGGGTCCGGGATTTGAACCCGCGACCATGCGTGTGTGAAGGGCGCCCCTTGCCACTACACTACCTCCGCACATTGAAACGTCGGCTATGGCGAAAAAACCGAAAAAAAATTTCATTGAACGTCGTTCTCAGAGTAACAATGACAAAAAAATTTTTGATAACAAAAGTCTACAATACACTCTACACAGAAG